TATTTATTTATATATTTTTATATTTATTTGTATATTTATATATATATATATATTTGTAATATGTATATATATATGTATATATATATGTATATATTATATATGTATATATATATTATATATATATATATATATATATATTATATATATATATGGCTATATACTTTCCTGTCAAGAAAGGCAGATACACTAACTTTATAAGCCTATGTCAATACTTAGTGTTGGAATTTTCAGTAAAAATTAATCAATTTCTTATTTCTCGCCTTTAACATCGAATTTCATTTTTACTTTTAGTTTTGAGTCCTTGCCATCCGAACCCATGTAAGAATGGTGTCTGCATAAGTAACTTTTTCACAAAACTTCTCCGCGGAGGATACAAGTGTAAGTGTGACAGTGGATACTCTGGCAAGCATTGTGAAGAAGGTATGTGTTAGGTTACTTTAGTTATTTTCTTTTGTTTGTTTTCGTGTTTGTGGAAATTACAAAGTTAAACGGAGTGGTTTGTGAGTAAGGTTTTTTTTTTCCCGTCCAATCCCACTTCCTGTCACGGTGGTACAGGAATTTTTAGGTCGGCTGATTGATTAATAAATCTTTTTGTATGTTTTTTTTTACGTGAATAATTTTGTATTTTGTATTGCTTTCACATCAGCTTTAAAGCAAATATCTACCTTTTGGTATAATAGACCTGTGTGCACAGCTCCAATGTGTTAACGGTGGGATGTGTGAAATAGCATATCTGCTGGGACGAGCCCTGTTCTTTTCTGAATTGTCGATAATTGATCAACAATTTAAGCAAATATTGTGTCAATTTTCATAGATTTAAAGCAGCCTTCACTTGGCCCTCCCTGCAAGTAACGCTAACACCTGTGTAAAACTAATGCTTTATACTTCAGTGCAATTGCAAATCGATGATTTGCAATGCATAATACGAGAAGAACAAGAAATAATTTATATTTATTTCCTAGTCTAGTTTTTGTATTTTCTGTATTCAACTTTTGTTCTGTGATCACTGTAGAATGTTTGGTTTATCCACGTCATAATAGTTTCCATTGTTTCACAGAGTTTAACTGTTAAAACATTTTCATTTTCACCTATAGATATCCTCAGCCCGAAGAAGCAACTGATCTTAACGTCATTGATATAAATGACAAGTTTTCTTTTTTTTATATTATTATTTCAATGAATTCATATAAATTGAAAAAAGAATTATTGAAATTGGGCAATGTTGTTTTAACCCTGTTAAAAGAATATACGTCCAACTGATAATATTTACACCAATCACGCTTAATAATCGGTTGTTTGATATATTTTCAGGTTGTAAAGGTTACAAATGTTGGTGGTAAGAGGACGTCATACTGTGTTATGTCACCAAAAAGAAATCAAAATCTGCTTACTTTTCAATCGATTTGCTCACTGCCTGTAACCTGCTTACACTATTTGAATTCTGCTTTGATTTTTTTTGGGAATTCTGAATTAAATTGTATTATAGTAACAATATACCGTAGTGTATTATAGGAATACTTTATAGTGTATTAAAGTAATACTATGACATATAGCAATATTATACACTGAATTATAATAGTAATAATAATAATAAATCTTTATTCAGCATTAAAATGTCACACAAGCAAAGGCAAAATCTAGAATAAAATTTATTTCAAATTTTACCTTTGCTTTAATGAATATGAAAATAGACCAAGTAAAACAATCACTTATAACTAAATTTAAAAACAGCATAATGCACAATTGTAAAATTGATAGAATCACAAATTCTATTATGAAATCTACCAAATGATACTAAGAACAAATCTCATAATCAATGTCATTGTATGCATGTAAAATATAATCCCAAATCATGAAGAATTCAACACTTTCTGCTATTGGTTTGATTATATTCTTTTAATATTTTACTTCTGTTATTTGCTAAGATTATTGGAGCTAATTTGCAATTGAAATTACACCAAGTGTAGAAAAAGAATAAAAAATATTGTCAAATAAAAACGTAATAGTGTGGTTACCGTATTGTTAATTGTCGGATGGTATGTGTACGGCAAAATATAAGATGCGTAAGTCACACAAATCAATATTCTAACAAATTGAAAGAGCAATAATCGTGAAAAGCTAATAAGACACAAATTTTTTGAAAGGTTTCCCAAGTTCTCCGCCCTCCCCACGAGATTATTCTTATAAAAATTGCTGATTTCATTTACTACATATTTGCATTAAACATTTAAAAGATTATTCAAACTGTAATGATTTTAAAAATTTATCGTACCCGATATTAATATAAAATAATATTTTGATAAAATTATTTTATATAATTCTGTCATCACATATAAAAACGGCTGACATGATATTTTCCGTTGCTAGTGTTGACACTTTTCACAATTTCAAATTTATTAAAAAACTGATTCTGACCGAGATTTTGACACTTAAACATATCTCAGGCCTACTCGAACGACCGCATTGTGCGAGATGCGAAGTACAAAAACTAATCCCATTAGAGAGGGCGCACTTTATTGACTGTATCAAAGATACTAGAAATACAAGATAGAGTTCTCGCATTGTAAAAATGAGGCGGAAGTCGTGCTCGTGCCCAACGTAGGCAGCCTTTTTAACCATGCAAGTTTCCTATACTTCGTGCCCAACGTACAGGGCGCCCTTCTGTTGCTAAGTATATCCAGACGCAAAAGGCGCCCTTCCTTTTCCACTAATGGAGGAAATTTTTTTCACTAAGATCGAGTGCGTCCGGCCATGCGATTCTGCGCTGTATTGTTGTTTTATTCTTTGCTGATTCATGATTATGCTTTAATTGTTTTGGGTATTATTTGGATAATAGCAATTAATTCTAACGCCACCAAGGAGGTTATGTATTCACCGATGTCACTGTCTGGTTGTCTATTCCAGTTTGTTTTTATATCTAGTAAATAAAAAGTGATTGGTAAAAACTCATAATATCGGTACGGAACGTCGGTAAAGAAGTGCAAGATACAGTCATCATTATGAATTCTTGTGCTTTACTGATCCATACTATTGGTAGGCCTATTATTTCAATGCTTTCCAACCCATTATTATTGACATTGAATACAGCTCTGATACTCACAGTATATATTTTTTAATCACAAATTAGAACTGCATATATATAGTTTTAAAACAATGTGCATTCACAAAATTTATTTACAACACAAGTTTATGTAATTACTGTAGGCCTATATCCCGTTTAAAAAAGTATAAATATATATATATATATAAATATATATATATATATAATATATATATAATTATATATATATATATAAAGATATAAAAAGATAATATAAAAACTCGGCCTTATTATTCTAATTAGAGACTAAAAAGCGGATATAGGCTATGCTAGGTAGGTAGACCATGGAAATCCCGGTTCAAAAAGTGGTCTTATGTAATTAGAGTTAGACCTGTATTAATATTATTAAATTTCCTGTACCAAAAGAGCTCCATTTTCACGTCATTCA